ATGAAAAGAGATAATCAATGAAGCTAAACTGGAGTGATATGGGTGCTCTAAGGAGTCCTAGTAAATTTTCTAGGTGTAACTACAAATGGCAAAAAATGATGCGAAAATTCCAAACATTATCAAAAAAAAAAAATCCAGATTAGCATTACCAATATGTCTTCTAGCCTCCACAACATCCGATAAGCGATTAACATTGGACAGTTGTCCAAGGCAAAAGCGCTCTGCGTCCGATGGTGCGGTGTATCCATCAACAATTAAGGAGGGTTGCGATGCATGGAAAGTTTCACCGACTCGCTGTGATAACTCATAATATGAAACGGAGCACCAGAAAGGCGGTTCGATGTACTCAACCGCGATCATGTTCACTGCAATCATCGTCTACTTAGATAACAATTACGAAATTAAGTACAGACGTAGGAAATGCAAAATAAATTACAAAAAGAACAAAAAATGAACCAACAAATATTACAATTGTTAGGGCGCGTAATGATCGGGGAGGATGCATAGGCCGGTAAGAGCTCTCCAACGCAGTCAGCACTTCGATTCTGCTCCGCTTCTAAATCTGCTTCCAAATTCTCGTCGACATATCCGCTGGAAGGCGACAACGCTGTAACAGTTTTTCAAGAAAATTAATTTTGGGGAGAACTACTGTAAAGATAAAAACAATTCAAAATCGGGAAAAAAAAATGCTCCAAGAAATACACTTTTTAATAGATTGAGTTGGTTCAGCAATAAAAAAAAAAAAAATAATCGATCCCAGTGATATGACGCAAGAGGAGTTCATTATATCTTCCAGTTTTAGGTAAAATACTACATTATCTATCTCGAACGGAGCTGAAACAAAGAAGTTACCTAATGGTAGTGTTCAGTGCCGTATAAATGCAAGCACAAGCTTTCAAAATCATCTAATGGTTCATTTTAACAAATTTAATTTCATAAGTCACATTTTTCTAACTGTTATATTAATCCCAGCTCATAGTAAGTCATACTTACAGTAATTAGTCGCTCACCCTCAGTTTTAGCCAGAAAGGGATTTCCGACAACGCTGGCAGGTGACGGCACGACAGTATTTATTCCGTTAGTTCCATCAGGACTGTTCATATTTGGCGAAGACAGAGTTGGTGAATTTGAGCCATTCTGATGCCATCCTAAAGGACCACCATTGCTTAGAGTACGATTTGGCACACTCTGCGTCACAATCTGCAATAATGATGAACATTCATCAAAATCTAAA